CATTTTTTTGAAAAAGATTAACAGCAGAAACAGTTTCTATTCACTTGTTTGAATGGTAAAATTCTCATATAATTCAACTGTCAATTAAAAACATTGTTATTCCCATGTTATATCACTTCCAAGTATAGCAGTGGTTCTCAACCTATTCACTATTGTGGGCAGCATCCAATACTACCTGTATGGCCCTGAAGATGTCACATGGGCCGCAGCCATGTGCTGACTGGGCCGCAGGTTGAGAACTACTGATTTATAGTAATTCTTTTCTCTGTCAGAAAATAGTTTACCCCAGACTACACACAACATTAAGCTATGGGGTGGAGGGGGGGTTTCAGGTGATATAATCCACTTATAGAGCAATGTTTAAGTGACAAGTGGCTAGTCAAATTTCAGGGTCCAGGGAATAGTCCAGTTGGGAGTAGAAATAAGTCTGGTATTGTCTTGGGTGTAATCTTATTTATTTACAAAGCATGTACAAAGACCTGCTTCTCCAAAAGCAGATGGAACCAAAAAACAGGGGATAGCAGAAACAGTTTCTATTTTTAATTGGTTAATATGCCATCTATAGCCCACAATTTTTGCACTTTTTTCAAAAATCCCACAAACCCGCATAGCCCTCCTCGCTGTCCGCCATCTCTGACAGAAGCATTGAGCCTGCTCAGCTCTGCACTACTGTCATTAGCATTGCAAGCACAGGACGCATGATCCTCCGGTATTTGCAGAGTCACAAAAAGAACCAAGTCAGTGGGGAACATGATGATTTCTTGAAGAACAGATCACCGTGGCACATAGAAAGAACCAATTCAAGTGTGTTGGTGGAGTGCCACTTCTGCGCCTGAAAACCGAGCACTGACTGATGGGGAGGGAATTGCTCAGTTGCATGAAACTATAGGTACAGTATAGGGCAACAGCACTGAGTACTGTCACCATTTTCCACAGGTGGTCGTGATTTTAGCTGGTATCTGACTCCTGAAGGTAACAAAGGCATAGAGAACACAGCTGCTGCTGGCATCCCAAAGCTGCCTGGGCCCATGTGCAGCTCACCTGCCTACTGCAGTGGTGCCTCTGAAGTTATCGTTGACTGGCGTGGGAAAGTGTCCTACTGCTGAGGAAGAAATAAGACAGGCCTCTCTAGACCTTTTGGGAGAGGACTGCAGAGTACCTCCATAAAAATTTCATTGAGATCTCTCAGGAGGATTCAAGGGACATACCTGTACATGTAAACAAACTGCTCCTCATGGCCTCCGCTCCCTAACTCTACAAGGGAATGGAAAGCCGATAACAACTCTACCTCTCTTTGTTGTACCGCTACCTCTTCTAGTTAGTAGGAGCAAATCAATGAAAAGTCAATAGCTGTGTCCTGCTAAGTTGGGGTTGCCATCAGTACATCATTGTAATGGGAATACAATTACACACTTACCTGAGGTTCCTTCCCCTGCACTGGGTTTACCCACGCTTGACAACCAGGGCTGATTAGACAGTGGTAAAGTCTCAAACAGGTCCTGGCTCATGACATAGCTAGATTCCCTGGTCGCATGTCCCCCATCCTCCTCTTCTTCCTCCTCCACCACCTCCTTGCTGTTTAGGCCAGGGACCTGTGGTTCGTGCTTCTTGAAAGTATCCACTGTGGTCAGCAGGATAGATTGGCCTTCTGATATGCCTGCTGCAGTTCCTTCACTTTCACGCAGCCCTGCTGCTGATCTCTCTTGTACCCCCTTCTCCTGCATTCCGTGTGCAAGATGCTCATAGATGCTGATGTTTCTATGGCTGGTCCATAGCTGTGCTTGCACAGCTTCTTCTCCCCACAGGCCCAGGAGAACCAATATTTCCTGTCTACTCCAAGCTAGAGAGCATGTGGCCAGCATGGTCAGCTAAGCAGTTGTATGCAAGAATGGAGAACAGCTCGATATGCTTGCCAAACTGGACAATCAGGGAAAGGCATTTTAAACATGTGCAGGGCTTTACGGGGGGTGGGATGGGGGGGGAGGGGCTTTCCAGTCTCTGTGACCTCTGGACAGCGGAGTTCACAATTGTGACCAGAGCAGTCAGTGCTGGGCATTGCAGGACAGCTGCTCAAGGTTCTATTAGGGTCGACATAAGTAATGTAGCATCCACACTCATGCTATGTCGACCTCGGTATTTCACCCATGGATCAATGCTTCTCAGGCAGCTGGTGTTACTACGTCAGTATAATGGGACACTTACATCGTTGGGAGACAAATTTTAGTTAAGACATATGCACAACTCGGTTGATGCAAGGCGCCTCATATGAACCTAACTTTGTTGTTTAGACCAGACCTAAAGTCTTGTGGATGTATGGAAGAGCAGTTAGGTTGCACTGTTGCTTCCTCCTACTCTTCTTCCCTTAAATTTAATGCATAACTTCATAATTCCTGTGTACAGAAACAACTAGACAGCTATATAATTGTAAAACACTCTTTATTCTCTCCTGTGGCTCGCTTGTGACATACAGGTGACCTTGCTTTAACAGAACAAAAACTCTAGTTTCAAATGGAGGGGGCGGGGAAGGATGCAAAGGGTTACCTGCAATAAATGGACATTTCAGCTTTACAGACAGTTACCTGGCGATATTCTTTTAAAGCTGAAACAGCTTTGGCTCATTTAACTGGAGACAATGTGATTCCAGACACCAGTGAAATAACTATAACATCAATGTAGCCCATATAAACTTAAGTTTTAAGAGGTACTTAAAATAATCATCTTGATAAACCCTCAAAGCCCATTCAAGTTGATGAAAAGGGTAAAGAGACTATCAAAGAATACATCCTCTTCTGAAGGAATCAAATCCAAGCCCCAACTACCACCCCTGGAACTGGTGTGGTTCTAATGCACAGTGGGTATGGGGAATAGGATATAAGGGAGACAGCCCCCCACAAATGGCTCACACTCCCCACATGATGTGAGAAATAGTTTAATGGAACTCTTTATGGGCCAGGATACAGAGAACAAGGCAAGAGGATTCTCTGCTATGCATAGCCTTCCCCTCTGCAGGAGGGTCGATAAGGAAGCCACCAGGGAGCTACCTTGCTGGTGGACTTGAGCAATGGAAGATGTGTCTCTCTCTTTCATCCTCCTCATCTGGCAGAAGTTATGAAATGACAGAAGTTGTATTGGGGCCCCCTGAAAACTAAATAAGGTCAACATTTACGCTGTAGATGAAAGGGCTTTTGTACATCAAAAAGTAAAGTTTGAATTACACGTGGGAACAAACAGAAATCCAGTGTAGATTATGGCATACAATGCTCCACATTAGCAATACTGCTGAGTAAGTGGACCTAGCATACCCTACTACCCAAAGATTCCAAGTACTAATCAGGTGCAGGCCTGTCTAAAGCATACAGCAGCACCCCAATGTTAAGGAGACAAAGGCATGGTATGGAGCTCTCAAAGTCCACTGTAGTTAAAGTTTAGTAAGACTAGTCTCACTGCAGAACCCACAATGGGCAATCTAGGCACAACACCAAGGTCACCAACCCTCATGGAAAGGTTATAAACAAACCATAGGAGGGAAACAAAGGGTGGTACACTGTAGAAGGCCCTAGATCTTTTAAAAAAATAAAACAGAGTTGCTTTTTAAATGATTTCACAAACTGTAATGTGACAAACTGTTATGAGCCCTGTGCATTTGCTGTATCACACTTGAACGGTTATGTATACAATCTACCCCACGCCACATAGCTGTGCTGCAGAATCTAAGTTTTCATTTTTAAAAAAGTATCTAGGCCCCCTGGTTGCAAAAATAGCTTTCCAAATGTAAAACAAATGTAAATCAATGGAATACTGTCTGCAGAGACAGAGTGCCTCAGAAAAAGCTGGAGAGCCACTGAGTACTTTCCCCCTCCCATTCATTGCAATGGAGCATTAACTGATGCCTGCCACTGACATTTTAAATATCACCATTTGCTATGCCTTCACTGCCAAAATAAATGTGTTTTCCATGACAGGATGACCTTAGCTATCCTGCTGCAAAATCCGAGTGGAGACAAAGCACTGTAGTTTTACACTGAGATGAACTAGGTGAGGCCCACTGCGTGAGTTGGAGGGGAGATGTGGGGGAAGGGGAGATGGTACAAAATATATCGGAAAGACAGAACAGGTTGCGCTGGTGTTGGAGTGGCACTACATGTGAAAGGAAGTATAGAATCAAATGAAGTAAAAATCTTAAATGAATCGAACTGTACCATTGAGTCGCTATGGATAGTAATTCCATGCTCTAAGAAGAAGAATATAGCAGTAGGGACATATTACCCACCATCTGACCAGGATGGTGATAGTGACTGTGAAATGCTCAGGAAGATTAGAGAGGCCATTAAAATAAAAAACTCAATAATAATGGGGGATTTCAACTATCCACATATTGACTGGGTACATATCGCCTCAGGCCAGCCTACTCATCAGCTTTAGGCCTTGTCTACATAAGAAAATGTCACCAACTAAACTAAAGGTGGCATTTTAAACTGATTTAGTTCAACCAATGCAAATTCCTGTGTGAACACTATTACAGTTCAAATCATTTCTCTTATTTCCATTTAGTTTAAATGGATTAGGAATCAGTTTGAAATATACTGAAATAAGAGTGTCCACACAGGAATTTGCACTGGTTTAACTAAATTGGCTTAAAAGCAAATTTAAATTAAACCAATGCAACTTTATAATATAAACATAGCCTGAGGCCTTGGATAAACTGCACCACTTTAACAGAATATGATTTGAAAGGGATATAGTTAATCCAGTGTAAACTCATGTGTGCACACACTCTTATTAAACTGATTCCCATCACAATGACATCGAATTGGCTCTACTAGCAATAAATGAAGAGGAATGTTAGGCCTTATATATATTAACCTTTCAAAATAATAGATGATAATCGAGCTGTCTTTCAAACCAAGAATGCAATTCTTAATGTTGTGCACACAAAACATACTTATTTGCAGGGTAAAGACTCTTGAGAGAGATTTAAATAGTAAAAAGAGATACAATACCAGTGGGAAGCAGACATTCCAGCGGAGTAAACACGTGTTCCATAGCTTATTAACTTTCTGCTTTTAAAAAACAAAGAACACAGAAAACGGCAGGTTAAAAAGATTCCAAGTTCTTGCAAACCTCAGCTGTCCATTAAACCTCACTTATTTTATTGGCATATTCTTGAAAAAGCACAGTTCAAGTTTACTCTGAGCAGAGGAAATGTGCAGACCAAGGTTTGTTTTCCAAAGAAATAAACAAACAGCTTTAAAAGCGTTGTAGGCTGAGTTGCGGGTAACTGGCAGCACCCAGGGCGAGCCCGTTTCAATGGGAGAGGGGCATTAAGCCACAGGCACATTTGGCTCTTGCCAAGACCTGATACATTTCGCCACACGGCGCCAGCACTTAAAGCCAACGCAGAGAGGGGTAGGAACAGGGAAGCAGGAATCACGAGCATCCTCTATTTGCTGAGCTGAAACAGCTGCTTTTAGCTGCAAACTCGGCTAGCAAACTGGAAGGGGACTCCACGTTTAGATCTGAAAGGCAGAAGAGAAGGCAGAGGTGTGAGGGGGCTTTCTCCCCTAGGAGCCTGTACCCCACTGGGGGGGATAGATCTCCCCCCCAATCCCCAGGGAAGCAAAGGGTGACAAGAGGCGCCTTGGCGGCAGCAGCAATAACGGGGGCTGCTGAGCACGTGAGTTTCAGCCTAGGAAGCAGAAGTAGCAGCTGACCGTGCAGCGCCCCCTGCACCAAGCACGGGAAGGGGCTGGGAGCGGGGCGCTCGCGCCGGGGTACCTGAGACTCCGTTCCCTGCTGCTGCGGGGCCTGGCGCTAGGACGGGCGCGTGCAGGTGTCCTGGGGAGAGGCGAGGACAAGGGACGGGGAGGAACGACGATGGCATCGATTTCGGCCCTGATCCGTTGCTCCGCGATCGATTTAGAATGGCTGCAACAGGAAGAGCGAGAGGGAGCGTGCCCAGCCCATGCAGGACGTGGGCAGGGAGTGCAACTGCAGATGTCCTCGCAGGCTGAGCACCTTTCTCTGCTGCTGACTCCAATGGGAGCTGCAGGTGCCCAGCCCCTGCGAGATCATTGCTGGGCTGTGCATTTTAGATGCCTGACTTCAGGCACTCACCCACCTCTGAGACTTTTGGCCCACCCGGCTAAGCTGTAAAAAGAGAGAGAGATGGCAGCTCTTTTTATTTAGGCTCTGTCCTCTTGCACGAATGCTTTACTAACCCCACGTGGGGCACTAGTAATTTGCACTGGCTTGAAAATGTTATATTTTTGTCTTTGCGGGGGGAGGGGGCGATCGGAGAATGGGAGACTTATCTTTCAAGGAAAAATATTAAGCTCTACAACCAATCTGTAAAGAAAGTCAGCAAGAGGACAACAGCTACAAAAAGAAAAGGGGTGCTTTAATAGCAAAGACAACTCAGATTTCCTTGCATTACCTATAATAGTGTAGGATATATGAGAACAGCATGCTGAGGAGAGTGGCAATGACCCAGTTCTGCTCCCTGTAAAAGCAAGTCAGACCAGCTTTCCACCACAACCCCTGCCAGCAAACCAAAAGTACAGAAGAAATAGGTGCAGAAAAAGAGTTGCAAATAATACAAAAAAAGCTTTTGCTGATGTTTGAATATTTTATATTTTTTTCAGTTAGTGTCATTACTGGATGTGTGTAACAAAAAACAACTTGGTAAGAAAAAATTGTGGGAGAGCCTATTCGTTTTTTATTTCTCTTGAACTAGATTTGGGCAGAGTGATATTTTGAAAAAAATATATATTAAATAAAGTTAGAGGACTGCAAACAGTTTTAAAAGCATTGTATTAAGATGTGAGGAAGTACAGTTCTGGGGTAACAGATTGCAAGATCTCTGGGACAAAAATTGTCTGAGTTTGATTCTGCAAACACTATAAGGCATGGTCCATTCACTTCAATTTAAGTACTTATATTGCTCTCATCACTGTAGTATTTGAATGTTAGAGTCATTAATGGACTTCTTTCTTCAGAATATCCCCCTGTGAGACAGGAAAGTACTACCTCCATTTTAGAGATTGGGATCAGAGGCACTGGGTAGATTAAGTGACCTGCCCAAGGTCACACAGGAGGGCTGTGGCTGATCTGAGAATTTATCCCAGATCTAAGGTCCCAATTGAGTACTTTATCCCACTAGAGCAGCCATCCTACCCCAATAGGACTATTTAGGATGCTATACTCTTTGGGCCTGATTTGAAGTGCATGGAAATCTATGGAAGGGCTTTAACTGATTTTGGTAGGCTTTGGTTGAGGGCCTGTAGCCAGTAGAAAGTGTGTGTTTAATTAATAAAGAGCCTGACTCTGCACAGGCTTACAGATGATCAGTGCTTAAATTAATAATAAAGAATGTTGTAGGTCTGTGTTACTCTGAGATGTAAAGCTGAATATATTAAGATAACTTCAGATGTGTACCTGTTGGTATAACAAGTGATTATATAATGGCTAATGCTAATAAAAATCAATTTAAAATCTAAAAGGTGGTTCTTTTAAAACAAAAACAAAAAAAACCCTTCCTTTGTATTAACTTTTCCAAACAAATGGAGGTGTTGCATGAAGCAAATGAGAGAAACCATCATGCTTAATCACAAAAAAAAAACCCAACACCTGTTAGAAACATTCTGGTTTAGGATTTTTTATATGATTGTGCAGTCAACATACAAATAAGAACTATCATCCTAAATTATTAAAACTAAAAGAATCTGGGGCCTAAGGTTGCAATTCTATAACTAGACTCCTGCATCTGTGTGGAAGTTAATTGTCTTCAGGGTGATTCTATGCAGGCATAAAGGTGCACTCATGCAGCTCAGATTGCACAATGAGGGCCTGGATTACTATATCCTTTCTGAGGCTTACTTTTTTCAATGCTTTTGAATTGGATCATGAAACTAGACTTCACATAAAAGGTTTTTGTTCCTAGTCAGTTTCACTTTCTAGTTTCCCTGCACTCACAATACAGACGGATGATCTTTAAATCTAAATAAGCATATTTTCATTTATATTTAAGAAAGTCATGGAACCTGTTTCCATTTAAGATTGGGTTTTGTAAATGTATGCAAAATATATAACAGACAAACAGACAAACAGCATGAGGCCTAAAGTATCTGACAATATCTCTTTAAATTTAACTTTTAAAAGGTTCTGGATGGTTCTGTCATTGTTCTTTGAGGCCCTGAAAATGTGGCTTTTAGTTGCCATCTTTTAGGTTGGTGTCTGATTTAGCTGATATTTCATATTGATGCTACTAGAGCTGGTTGTCCTGTAACTAATGTCCTTTCTTACTCTGTTACTTCTCACCATCACCTACCATCTCTTTCTTTTTTGAGTTCTCAGTGTCTTCCTGGGTTTCAAGTCCTGCTTTGACTGGCAGCCTCTCAGAGGAAATATAAGATTGCTCTTTTTTTTGCCTTTTTCTTTTTTTTTGACAATTTAGAGGAATTATACTGAGCCCTGCAGTAGAGGGCAGCAAAGGAACATGACTCAAGGATTCAGATGGCAGTTGCTATTTTCAGGTTTGCTAGTTGCATTTATTTCCAGAAGAACAGAGACAGCTAAAGCAATCTGGGGCTCCTGCAAACCCATTCAATTGGAACACCTTGCTCCAGGATTTAACATGCCACCTTCTCTTCCATTCAAACTCTATATTATGTTGGTTCAGAGGTTGTGTCAGAGAAGAGGAAGATAAATATGTAATGTATCCAGAAATGATATATGCATTGGGGAAATTAAGAAAGACAAATTAAGCGAACAAAGGTTTCCAGTTAAACTGGAGGATAATGGACCTAATGTGCCCAATATAAAGGAAAGAACACCCCAGTTCCCTAGAGATATCAAGCTCCCAGTTACGACGCAGCCAGTACTGCGTAACATATTGACCTGAGGCATGATCAAAAACAAACACACTGCCCCCGGCAGGGGACCCCATTAACAGACTCCATTGGCGTTAGGTTTGGCAACATTGGTATGTCTACACAGCAAAGAAAAACCCACGGTTAGCCCATGGCAGCCACAGGGCTCGGCCTGCGGGGCTATTTCATTGCTGTGTAGACTTCCGGCTCAGGCTGGAACCTGAGCTCTGGGACCCTTCCATCTACCAGAGTCCTAGAGCCTGGGCCCCTGCTCAAGCCCAGAAGTCTACACAGCATTTAAACAGCCCCGCAGCCTGAGCCCCACGAACCCGAATCGGCACAGGCCAGCCGCAAGTTTCTCTTTGCTGTGTAGACATACCCATTGTCTCTGAAAAAGTATGTAGCCTTTAGGCCTTTTGAGCTTTCAGGAGTGTTCTCCAGCAGTTTGCAAAGACATTGAGGATAAAGATTAAAATCTTCACACAATTTTACTCCTCAAAGTTAGCAAGGAAGTCAGGGCAGTGGTAGTTGAAGTGCTTTTATCTTGAAGAAGTGTGCGGGGGGGGAAATAGATGCAGTCTGGAAGCATTTTAATGAAAGATATTAAAAATGGTGACGGACTTACTTTACACTACACATACCAGCAAGGCCATCCCCATGACAGCCCTTAGGATCAAATCACCTCCTTATTTCAAAATTGTCTTCCCAGTCTTGAGATTCTATATTTCAATCGAAGGATCGATCAGATCTGGACAGTATTTTGGAGCATATCAACACTATTCTTTAGACAGGGTAAAGAGCAAATTTTACATAGGCTGAGTATGCTGCTTCCACAACATACCTGGCTCAGGGAGCAATAGAATGGATGGTAATTCATACCTTGCTACTACTAAGCCTCTGTGGTGCCTCTGCTCTCATCCTCTTATTTAACATTCTCATTGTCTTTTTTCTTTCAGTTTTGCTGATTGTTTTCCCAACCATGGGTCCAGTGATTCAGTCTCTCCCTGATGCTGCTTCTGCTTCACCAACATCTGAATCAACCTTTCTGGGAACAGTTTTCTGCTTGTCCTCAGTGGCTAATCTGTCCAGCTGATGTGAGGCGCTGGTTTGGAACAGCATGCCTTTTGGTCTCCCTCTTGTTTGTCTTTTCTGCCCCCCTTTCACTAGTTTTCTGCTGCTGTTTCTCTCCTGTCTTTGCCCCCTCTCAAGTTCTGCACCTCTCCATTTGTCTTCCTTACCTCTTCTACTTTCATTCCTTCTCTACTCCTTCACTGAGTTCTTTATCTGTGCCTGTGAGTAAGTCTACATTGCATCTAGAAGTGAACCCTCCCCACGTGGCCCCACAGACTTGTGATGGTGGGGCTTGCACTAGTGTGCTCAAAAAGTAGCTACAACATATACACAGCTATTTTTAGCGCAATAGCAGGAGCTGCACCACTTCAAGTCTGGGAGGCTCCATCCCAGCTGCAATGTAGACATACCCTGAAAGCTCCGGGTGTAGTGGTCAACTGCCTGCCAGTGCCAGCCACTCTTGTAACAAAGTAACCGTATCTCTTTCTAACTGCTGTCTATTGTAATGCAATATTTATCACAAGGGAAGTGTTACAGGGGGAAATCAGTCATGAGTGAGTGGGCTGACAAAGGGACCTTTCAATCCCTTCAGCATGTGCAAGAACTTGTAAGGAAACATACTTTATCTGCATGCTCTGCTGCAAGGACGGGGAGGATTTCATGCTATCCGATCTTCATTCTTGCTGATTGATGAGCTTTTGAAAAAACACTCATCTTACTTGGGTGAACCTTTTTTATCCAACATAATCTTAAAGCTCTTTAGGAGTTAACTCAGCAGCAGCAGCAGTCCCTTGATTCGAGGATGATCTCTACCACAGATTTAAATTAAGAGTTAACTATATAGGAATCAGTTCACTCCACACCTCTAGGGTGGAACCTGACAGTTATCTAACAGAGAACAGCAACAGTATCACACAGTTCAGGACAGAAAGAAAGAGAAATACAGTGTCCAGCTGAACACTGCAAAGGAAATTCTATGTAGACAAAACGTGTGGAAAGTGCCCTGGGTCCTTTAATGACAACAAGCTGTCAGG